ATCAGTTTGGTTATGGGTGTTCCTATGATGAAATACGAACATTTTTAACATCCCTCGCTGTTGAGCACTTAAATGAGGAAAATTTTATACCACCAGGAATTGAGCCAGTTGAAAACCAAAACTTTATTCACGCTAGCATTGACAATTTTGATTTAAATGAGGAGACTATTGATGGAAAATGTACTACACATGCATTAGCAATGGTTCTTTTTCAAAAAAAATCTGAAGTTCCGAGAGGTTCATCCGTTGAAAGAACAAAAAAACGTTCTTTAGGAGAAACAGATCTCAGCAATAAAATCCTCATTTACAGAAAACCATCAACCCGACCAGAGCCACCTCGATCAGATAAAAATTCAGTTTGCGCAATTAATGACAATTTTGTCAAAAAATCGTTTTCCATCGACAATTTATGGCAGCTTTTACAGTGTGTTAAAAAAAGGGAAACGGTAACAACGTGGAATGAATTTAATAATATATTATCTGAAAATAATTTATATGTATCGAATACATATTATCTACCATTTTTAAATGCCCCTCCCACTGATTTTGATACAATCTTCACAGGTCTTGTTAAATTGGTAAAGATAGCAGAAACGCTAAATGAAAATAATATTGTAGTGACAGCAGACCTTTCAATTTATAGTAAAGCACAAGAAATTCTTTGGAATAAACCTGCACAATTACATGATAAAGTTACTATGCAACTAGGCGGTATGCATTTGACAATGGCGTTTATCGCAAGTATTGGCTGTATTTTTGCTGATGGGGGCCTTTCTAGCATTTTAGTAGAATCTGAAGTTTATGCTGAAATGTCTTGTACCCAACTTCTTCAAGGCAAACAATATGATCGAGGAATAAGAGCTCTCATTTTAGTAGCAGACACTTTAAGTCGATTGTTTTACAAATCAATGATGGAGTGGCTAAAAGAAACTAATTACGAATCAGTATTTAGCGAACACTTTGTTAATCTTCTCAATGAATTAGAAAATGTCATTTTAACTGATGCTTCTACTTTTGATAGAAAAATAGTTAAGACTATAATGGAATCTTCAGAAGAATTGGAAACCTGTATTAATTCTTTTAAAAAATATGGATGTGAAAATAATCCTACTTTCAAATACTGGTGTTTGTTTTTAGACTCAGTTGATATTCTAATGGCTTTAATCAGATCAGAACGCATTGCAGATTTTAATTTGCACTTAGAAACCGTCAAACAAGCATTACCATTTTTTAAAGCAGGAGGACGTCTTAACTATGCTAAGTACGTACCTGTATACCTGCTAGATATGCAGAAATTAAAAAGAGATCATAGAAACATGTACGAATATTTAAATATAGGAAATTTTGTAGTAAAAAGAACAAATAATAAACCATTTAATTGTGTTGCTTCTGATATGGCTTTAGAACAAACTATAAATAGAGATTGCAAGAGTTCTGGAGGGGTAATTGGATTTTCAAGACAGGAAGGTACTTTAAATCGATGGCTAATTACAAGACATTTAGTCGGAGAATATGCCAATAAATTAGAACTATTGGTATATAATCAAACACAATTTAAATATGGTCATTCACAAAGAGTACGAGATGAAAACGATGTAATGAAAATGAAAAATTTGATTGAAAATTCATGGGTGAACCCGTTTGATATAACCGAAACATCAAATGATCTAGTGAATATTGCGACTGGAAAAATAGCATCAACGGATGTTAAGGATTCCCTTATGTCTTTTAAGTGGGAAGCCCACTTGAAAATGAAAACATTTATAAAGGACCGCTTAACCGAAAATGAAACAGTCAGTTTTTGGAAAACAGTACCACGATTTTCTTTAAAAACTTTCAATAATGATAAAATTAACTACAAGAACTCCAGTAAAGGGAAAAATATAAATCCTGAATTTATGTTTAGAAGAATAATCAGTGCCGCTCAATTTCAAAATATGGATTTTATTGATATACTATCTCATGAATTAACTCCAGTCCCTCTTGCTTTATTCAATGATGATGGAACAATGAGAAAAACTCCCAAATCGGATCTAGCAAACAAACTGCATTCTTATTGCGAAGCATCATTACAGGTTCCTGAAAATTTCAGCTCTTATGTTTTAGACGGAATGGCAATTCTTCATTCTTTGAATGCGAAATCTTTCAAAACATTCGATAATTTAGCAGATGTGGTCCTAAATAGAATTTTACGCATTTTCCAGGAAAACCCTTCATGTATCAGTATTTCTTTAATATTTGACAGATATGATATTGAAAACTCCATAAAAAACATTGAAAGACAAAGACGAGGACAAACTACAATAGGAACATTTAGCATAGTCGGCAGTAGACAAGTCCCAAATTATAAAACATTTTTAAAGTCGTGTGCAAGTCACTTATACAATATATTTCAAAATGTTTAACTGAAGCTTCTAAACAGTTTCCTGCAGGAAAAGAGCTCTATATTGCAGGAGGTTTTCAAAATGGAGAAGAATGTTTTAAAGTAAGTCATTAAAATCACCTGTATCCAATTTATGAGTTTTTAATATTCTTACAGATAAGCAACACAGATGTTATAAAAGAGGAAACTTTGAAATGTAATCATGAAGAGGCAGACACTCGTATTATTTTCCATTTGACAAATTCTCTTAATAAAAACCGTACAGTGGTTATAAAGTCGGATGATACCGATGTATTGGTTTTATTACTTTATTATTATTGGAACAATGAAATTATGAAAACTTGTGAAATTTTTATGGAAACTGGCCACATCGTGAACAACGTCAATAAAAAAAAATACATTCCCGTACATCAAATAGCAGAAAATTTAGGAAAGCCAGTTTCAGACAGTTTACCAGCTTTTCACTGTCTCACTGGTTGTGACACGACCAGTTCTTTTTATAAAATAGGAAAGAAATCAGGTTTTCAAATTTTGTTAAAATCATGTAATAACATTGACCTTCCAGCTTTTGGAAAATGTGAAATTGATGATAGTGTTTCCATAGCTAGGAAATTTGTTAGTAAACTTTATAAACAAGAACGATGTGACAACCTTAACGAGATAAGGAGAACATTGACACAAACCACAAAAAAGTCTGCACAAGAAATTCCGCCTACAGAGGATGCATTTTATTTTCACGTTTTAAGGTAGGTACACTTACTAAAAAATATTAAAAGTATGTATTATTTATTACTTTTTACAGATGTTATTATCAAACACATATATGGCTAAATAGTCACGTCGGAATTGTAAAATTATTTAATTTGATGGATTATGGATGGAAAAAAGATGATAATTATATTGTTCCGAAATTAATGTCATCTCCGGCAGTTCCAAGCAATATTAGGAAAATTATTTCACTAAATTGTAGTGAGAAGAAATGTGACACTAAAAAATGTGTATGTTTAGTGGAGGGAGTATTTTGTACAGAAGAGTGCAAATGTTGTTCGAATTGCTCAAATAAGCAAATAATTGGAGACATTGTAGAAGATTATGATTTTGTTTAGTTTTCTTGTCTGTTACATAATAACATTAAAAATAATAAAGGTGATGATAATAATAATAAAATGATAATAATATTAGTATTAATAATAAAAATTAAATAATAATTCATTAATTTTTACAAATATTTTTATGTTAATATAGAAGTTATAATTAATAAAATCTAATTACTTTTAAACCTTTAAACACACAAATAATGTGGCTTGCAAATAAACAAAACTGATTAAAAAACAAGCAATAGAACCTGGCCCGCATAGAGAAGATGCCAACACTACATGTAATGATTATGGAAGAAGGTACCTTTCTTCTCTAAGCGATGTTTCGATCTATTTCCGGCCGCTCGAGATAGATTTAAGTCGAATTCACCTGTTTAAAGGGTTGTAGTTTACAAATGACTTTACGTATAGCCCTATATAATCGAGCAAAAATGATGACGAATAAATTCCGCAGTTTTTGGTGTAAAAAAAAGTGGCAGTTGATTATGCAAAAAAAAGAGTTTGATAGGTAAAAAGTATTGGAAGATTCGCCAAATTTTTTAAATTAAAAGTTATTGTTATTTTTTTTTCCATAATTTATTAAAAAAAAAAATGTTTTTAACTGCTATTGTTTAGAGAAAAAAGAGAGCTTTTATATTATTCTAAAACGGTAATTATATCTTTCTTAGAAATCAAATCGCAGCGCAACAAAGTAAAAAAATTGAAAAGTTCAATTTTTTTCATTTTTTGTATGTAAATTTTATCTCGACCAATGAAAAATGTCGTCATTCTTGATTTCATATGTAAAAATGTATACTGAATAATGATATAAAGGTCGCATTTGGTTACACCTTTGAATTTTTTTTTTAACGATTATTACACGCCGTCCGCCGGTCTATTAGGGCTAACCTTTATCAAATAGTTTGTTTCAAAACTAAAACTAATACCTAATGAACTTGTGTTAGGTAGGAAAAATTATTTTCATATGTTTAGAACGTATAAAGGTAAATCACTGTTTTTTTTTTAAGTTTCTTAAATAGCGTCCACTTAATACGACTTGTTTGGTCACGTTAAAAATATACAAAAATTGTAATAGAATGTAATGAATTCAAATCAAGGTCAACGTTTATACGGGATGTCTACTTTATTTTTATGAATATTCAAGCGTGGTAATTCCGAAACTTTACCGCTAGTAAAACTAATCAGCGCCATACAAAGGCACACTTTTGGGGGGGGGGGAAACACCTGATTTGTTTTTATGAATATTAGGTATAAAAAGTTGGTAAAGTCGGTAAATTTTTGGCAACCGTGTTTGTATTTAAAACCAACTGCCTGGGCTTTTAGGGGGGTGACTCCCCCTACCCCCCTTGGGTCCTTCCCTGCTGATATCTAATAAAAGGTTTTGGATAACAAAATTCTGTATATTTTCAAAAAAACATTAATGCATAAAAAATGTGTCTCCTTACCGCAGTAATAATTCTTAAGTCAATCAAGATGATATAAAAACAATGAAATAATTATTAAAATATTTATTCTAGCATTGTCTGTTCTTATCTCAAGTAGTTGCTAGATTCTCTTAGTTGTGTAACTAATTAGATACCTATATCTAATCAATCACATATTTAATTATTGGCAATAGTAGCTAAATCAGTGTATGTGGAAAATACGAACAAGAGATTACTATCATTTTATAGATAATGTACGAAGAATTAGAATACGATAGTAAACTTGATCAATATACAGAGGTGATTTTCAATGAGTTTTCGGATAGTTCTGACGAAGAAATTGAAAATAGCATCGCACCTGTAAATCCTCTGTTAATTTTAAGGAAACAAAGAATTAGGTAAGTAAATTAAATAGTTATACATTTAACAATAATCTACCGAACCTAGTTTATACTTACCTATAATAAAATGTAATTTTGTAATTCATAAGTACCTAGGTAATGAAAAAGTTAATAGTTTTTTTTATTTTAAGACAGTATGCAAATAATTTAGATATTGATTTACTCGAAACGTTAAACACATTCATTGTGGTTGTATTCAAAATAAAAAGTAGTTAGAATTTAACGTTTTTGAAACAGTTAACGTTAAGGCGGTAATTTAAAACGAACCTGTCTAGAGATCTGAGCCGATACATATCTAAGAAACCAACCTTGCGTTCATTACAGTTTAATATTTTTTATTAATATTATTTTTTTTTTTTTCAAATTTTTAAAGTGACATTTTTTGTAATCGCAGCAAGTGCAACCAGTTGCATAAAATTGATAATTAAGGAATTGTTTTCGAAAAATTCATTAAGTCACCAGATGCAAGAAGAAAACAAATACAAATAATTTTTTTTTAAAAAATCAATAATATACATTATTATTAAAAGTTTATATCAAAGAAGGGCTTATAAAAATTGAATTAAGTTAAACTTACAACCTAGTAATAATGTTATTTTGATTCTTATTTTCCAGCCCAAATCAGCACAAAGTGTTTACAAAAAATAATAAAAGAATTATCGTTTATTTTAAATAATCGATTATTTTTTTCGTCCATTGAAACAGATTAATCGATAATCTTTGAAAAATTAAAAATAATCGATCAATAAAAAATAATCGAAAACTGGATAAGCGTTGTGTTAAATATTTTAACTTAAGGGGGAAGTACAGTACGACAAGATTGAGATGGCAAGTCAGAATTAGATGCGCACTGGCAAATCTAAAAATAGGAGGAATTATCTTAGTTAATGGCTGTACTTCGATGCTATTGTTTCAGTGATCTATTTGTATTTGTATTACTGTTAACTGTGATAACTCCTCCCATTTTCAGAATTGCCAGTGCGCATCTAATTCTGACCATCTCAATCTTGTCGTGCTATACGTTGAATAAAAAATGTGTTTCATATTTCGCTAGCACGATTCTTTCTATGTAAAACCACGAACTTTTCAACACATCCTCGTAGATATAGGTAGGTGCCAATATTCCTCTATCATAATATTCTTCTCTAATCTTGTTTAAACAATTGGGTATACTTTAAATGTAACATTATTTTGCAGGAAAAAAATCAGGTCACATTTGACGAAAAACTTCAATTTAGCAAGAATAATAAGTAAATCTGGAAAACTAAACACATTTCTCACGAAACTTTCAAATAAAAATATATCCTACATTAAAGATCTTGGTAACACTCTTCTTGGCATCAAATGGAGATGGATTGTGGTAACGCTTATTTTGGTGAATTTCATATGCTTTTTCTTTTTTGGAATGCTGTGGTACGTTGTAGCAGCTAGTAGTGGAGATTTTGACAGCAATGCTACCAACACATGTGTTATTAACACTAATACCATGACAGGTGAGTTTAGAGGGCCAGTTGAATATCTACAGTTATTCAATTTTCCTTATTTCCGTCAGATGATTAGATGATTTGATGATTGATTAGATGATTAGATGATTAGATGATTAGATGATTAGATGATTAGATGATTAGATGATTAGATGATTAGATGATTAGATGATTAGATGATTAGATGATTAGATGATTAGATGATTAGATGATTAGATGATTAGATGATTAGATGATTAGATGATTAGATGATTAGATGATTAGATGATTAGATGATTAGATGATTAGATGATTAGATGATTAGATGATTAGATGATTAGATGATTAGATGATTAGATGATTAGATGATTAGATGATTAGATGATTAGATGATTAGATGATTAGATGATTAGATGATTAGATGATTAGATGATTAGATGATTAGATGATTAGATGATTAGATGATTAGATGATTAGATGATTAGATGATTAGATGATTAGATGATTAGATGATTAGATGATTAGATGATTAGATGATTAGATGATTAGATGATTAGATGATTAGATGATTAGATGATTAGATGATTAGATGATTAGATGATTAGATGATTAGATGATTAGATGATTAGATGATTAGATGATTAGATGATTAGATGATTAGATGATTAGATGATTAGATGATTAGATGATTAGATGATTAGATGATGCCTACAGTCTATTTAAATTAATCTGACCTTACATTTATGGGATTCAGATAGCTTGATAACATCGACTAATGGGTATAAGAAATAAAAATGAATCAAAGATCTACACTAAACATCAAAGGACATATTCATTCTAAGATCAAACGTCATTATTGTCAAAAGTGAAATAAACATGACCTTAAACCATTTCACAACGTACTACCGATTAACTCGAAATTTTTGCGGCGATTTAATTTTTTTTTTTGATATTCGCTGAAAAGAAAAACAATAATTAGGAAATTTTAAAAATGTTAAGAAGGAAGGATATTATTGATGGAACCTTTTTTGCAATAATTATTCTATATTTAAATATTTAAAAAAATATTATTGTATAGTTTATCTACTATTTTATATAAGAGGTACCTAAATTTTAATATTTGTTTTTATAACGATGTCATCAGCTTTGTTTACTGAATTAATTAATTAAACGTGTTTGTATTTAAAATCAACTGCCTGGGCTTTGCAGGGGTGGCTCTCCCCTACCCTCCGTTGGGTCCTGCCACTCACCCATCTTACTTTATTATGATATATTACCATATACTATTAAATATTCTAGGCTATTTTTTATTGAGTGCTGAAACCATAACCACTATAGGCTACGGATACAGATATCCAACTGAACAATGTAATTTAGGATGGTTGATGTTAATGTTGCAAGTTTTACTTAGTGTTGCCATTCAAGGAGCATTGGTCAGTATTGTTTACGTCAAAATTACGAAACCCCTATCAAGTAGGGCTCGTTCCTTGTTTAGTAAAAAAGCAGTGGTAAGAGAACATAATATATTACATTTTTTCACTTCACACTATTGCTGTTAACTAGCTCACTTTTCTAATAGCTATTTATAAAACCAGTTACGAAATGCCTTATTTTATTTTACGAGTGAATATTTGCGAGACGAGCAGACCTGTGCTGTAGAAAGATATTTGATGATTTGAGAACGAACCTGAAACGGCGTCTGGCACATCAAATTCTTTATGATCTAGCGGTAAGGGCATTTATCTAGAGAACAAAGATGTCTGTGCTCGAATCCCTACGAAGACACGCTTTTTTTAATCATCAAGTATTTGTTTTCTTCACCTTTAGGATTTGGTGATGGTCTTAATAATTTGTTAGGGGATTTTGGATATTTATTTCCGAATTTTCAAATTATTCTATAACTATTCGGAATTCGATTTGCTATCAACGATATATTAAATTCACAATTTTTATACGTACATTAAAAACGCACACGAAGATATGGGCTTAGTATGCATCAATGCATTTTTCATATATACCTCATGATATACCTTCGTGATTTACCTTTCCGTTTTTATAATTGCTGTTTCATAATTTTAATTAGTAATACCTATTTTTAGATATTGTTAAGAGATGGCAAACTTCGGTTCGTTTTTCGTATAAACGATTTCACAAAAAAGATTTGGTGTGGCACCTACATCTCTTTATATTTCATGGATATGGAACCATTATATCCAAATGCGGAATTCGAAATGTTTCAAATGCAAATCGAGCCCCATGGTCTACTTATTTTTCCTGTACAAATCGAACATGTCATTGACGAAAATAGCCCGTTGTGGTCATTTAGACCATTGGATATTTTACAATCAAGGTATTATAAAGTTTTATAACACAAAATATTGCTATATTAATTACTCTTCCTTTCATTTGCAAGAATTTAATCTTTAATGGTCGACACTATTCTATGTTGGAAGAATCGTTGTACTGTACTTGGACAAATTGATCTCAATTATATTCCATTTAATTTAACTTTAATGTAGGTATATATTATAATCAATAATTTATCATTTTTAGATTCGAAATAATAGCAGTAGCAGAAGGCAGCTCGAATATAACAGGACAGATATCTCAAAACAGGACTTCCTATTCTAGTGGTGATATTTTATGGGGTCACCGATTCAGACCTTGTGTGGATTATGATAAAGACAGGGGAGTCTATGTTGTCGATTACAAAAAATTTAAGCAAACTCTACCATTCAACACACCTCTATGTAGTGCAAAGAAGCTAATGGATATTCAAAGCAAAATCGTAGCATCTTAGGTGAAACTTTCAGTTAACAATAGAGATAATTTTAAGAAACATTTTAAAAACAATTAGTAGCTGCATGAAAAAATAAACCAATTTGGTCATGTAACTTAGAACCCTAATAGATTTTGAAGTCTGATGATAGCAGTAAAATAATAATCATTTGTTTTTCGTCAAATGTTAAAAAATTTATTTGAACTAGTTAGCTAAAGGGGCGGTCTTATATTATTGTAGGACTGCTGGATATATCCAAAAAGTTATCGCTTTAAAAAATAACCTGCGATTCGCCATGTGGAACATGGAACAAATCTCTAAATAAATGTAACTTTTGAAATCGCGATTATAGATAATTGCATTAGTGGATGCACTCAAAAAAAGAAGGAACCATGGTTATTGTGTTTTGAAAGAAGAGGTTATGCAGGAAGGCTAACTTATCAATAATACTAAACCCTCTGAGATGAATAATTACGTCTTGAAAAGATGAAAAAATTGTTTCATCGATCAAGGGGTAAAAGGGAGAGAGGGAGTGTCTAGCTGATATACCTGCTGGCAATAGTTACATCTCTCTCAGCGGGTCTAAAAATGGCACAACTAGATATAGAAGAAGATAAGATGAACACAAAATATCTTCAAAAGTTTATGTGTATTCCCCTGTTTCCCTTTTGTCCTTTATACACTCATCGACTTAAAATCGATCCATTCAAAATATGTAATGATTTATTTAAAAATGCTCTAACTTTAAAATGCAGAGGCTGATTTATTTGAAGTTTTTAGCAACTTTTAGATAAAATAATATAGTTTTAATATTATTATTCGGACATCTAAAAGTAATTTAGTACTCGCCGGATATACAGGGGAGAAAGAAAACAATTTCTTCCTCTACTTTTGACACACCCTGTAGGTTAATTCTGCTAGTAGATCAGCACACAATTAACTTTATCAAGAAGACTGATTTGTTTCCAATACTTTGTTTCTTTATTTACCCCGATATCTTAATTTGTTTGTGAAATGTGACGGTTTAAAGAGAATGCAACATTCTTAATTTTTTTATTCAGTTTTAGCAGAGTAATACATAATTTTATAAACAAATCAAAAAACAAATAAACTAATAATTATTACAAATTAATAACGGGTATTTCCCTCACGAACGCGAATAACTGCCTCAATGCGTCGTGGCATACCCTCTTTTAGATGTCGAATCTCCATCTGGTCAATCTGATCCCATTCTTGGACCAAAGCATCTCTCAAAAAAATTAAATTACTTGGAGAAGGAACTCGGTTACGAACTCGTCTGCCCATCATGTCCCAGACGTGCTCAATTGGATTGAGGCCTGGGCTACGTGATGGCCAGTTCATTCTTTGAATTTCTGTTTCGTCCAAATATTGAGATACAATCCTCGCAATATGTGGTCGAGTGTTGTCATGCATAAACAATAAACATGAATTCGTTTGCTATAAACGGTGCAAATGGAATAGCATGTGGATCTAGCACATCACAAATATATCGGTTAGCTGTCATTGCTCCGCCGCCAACAATGACTAAATCAGTACGAGCTTCCATGCTTATGCCGCCCTAAAACATTACCGATCCTCCTCCATAACTGAGTCTTGTGGAAAAATTTGCTTGGTCAAACCTGTTGCCTCTTTTTCGGTATATTCTTTCACGGCCATCAGGTGAACGTAAACAAAACCTTGACTCGTCAGAAAATAAAATCTTACTCCAGTCATCGTCATTCCAATGTTGATGCTCCCTGGCAAATCGAAGACGTGCTGTTCTGTGATTCCTAAGTAACTCCGGACCAGTTGCAGGTCTTCTTGAGCGTAATCCATGTTCTCGTAATCGCCTTCGAATCGTTATTTCGTTAACAGCTACTTGACGTACTTCTTCTAAACGATTTCGAGCCATGACAGCAGTAGTATTTCTTTCTCGCAAAACATTTAATGTTACAAAACGATCATCTCGAACATTTGTAGAACGTCGTCTGCCAGATCCTCTTTGTCTCGAAAAACAACCAGTTTCATTGAAACGTTGTACAGCTCTCTGGACGCTACACCTTGTAAGACTCAATATTCTAGAAGCATACTAATGAGACCTACCGTCTTGTACCAGAGCAACTGCTCGTGCTGCATCAGTAGGCGTTAAAACCATGATTTTATGCTGATAATAAATATTTGTTATGCTGAAAATTCCACACCTGTAATTTTGAACCAATCAAAATACGTGTTTTTGACAGATCACCATGGCAACGGAGGTATTTTAGTGGAAATTTTTTTCTCGTGGGGTACCCAACAGCGAATTATACTGGAAATTTAATGACGTTTACAATAACAGAGCATTTTTGACAGACTGGTTTTTATTTGTTCACATAATAGGTTTAGTTTTGATACATTTTAGTTACAATGCTAAGGTGTTTTCTATATTCTTCGGCCACTTCTTTTCTTCTTAATGGCGAAAATGCAGGACTTTGGATGCTTTGAATTATGTGTCTATGTCTAATAAAATATATATAATATTTAGACACTAATTTATTCACCTTTTTCCCATTCAGCACTTTGAATTTTGCGTAGTTTAGGTGCAAATATTCGTGGACAATTCGGAACAAATTTTCGATTTTCAAGTTGGAGCCACAATCCTCTACTAATCCGAGTAAGTAAGTCATGGTGCAATGATTGATCATTACATCAGACAATTTCACGCATATTTTGCATAGCGTATGATTTTCAAATCGATTCATTTTTAAACAAATAGGTAATTTTGTTGGTTTTACTTGCTGTGCAATATTCTTTATCGCAACAAAACGCGAGTTATTTAATGTTTTGAACTGTCAAAATACAATGATCACAGCCTCCTACGATTGATGCTTGCTGACGCTGGTTATGAATTGCATACCATTTTAAAGCGCTCATAACGCATGTTAATAAAAACGCAGAAAAACAATTTTCTACCACTTGTAGTTATTCAAAACTTACGTAAAATTAAAGAATATACTATTTTCTATTTTCAAATGGTATTCCCATGCAACTACAATGAGTAGAAATAAGCAATTTGAAGGCCTAAATAATTGCAGCGAAACAGTTTTTTACGTCGGGCCGCTTGACAACTTCAAAACTGAAATTATATTCGAGGTTAGGGTCTCACTTAGTTACCATGACAACTCAACAATCAAGGCGACAACACCTTTTATGTTTCACTGGTGACTTGGAGAAAATAATTTGCATTGTTGAGAAACGAAAAATAAATTTTAAAAATATTTAATTTTCAACCATAATTCGGCGTGGAATTTTCTTACCGAATACCACGCGAGGTCAAATTAATATCAGGAAATAATTTGACCTCTAGTGGTATTACTAGTGATAATTAAACTGCAATTGCCAAGTAACGAATATTTGGCAGTTGTCATATTGTGAGTTGGCCACAGCACTCTACTTAGTTTGTAGTTTATTCTCTACCGTCATTTAAATATTATGACCGTTTCTAAAATGTAGCATTTTCTTTAAACCGTCACATTTCACAAACAAATTAAGATATCGGGGTAAATAAAAAAACTAAATATTGGAAACAAATCAGTCTTCTTGATAAAGTTAATTGTGTGCAGATCTACTAACAGAACTAACCTACAGGGTGTGTCAAAAGTAGAGGAAAAAATTGTTTTCTCTTCTCCCCTGTATATGCGGCGAGTACTTAATTACTTTTAGATGTCCGAATAATAATCTTAAAACTACAGTATTTTATCTTAAAGTTGCTAAGAACTTCAAATAAATCAGCCTCCCCATTTGAAAGTTAGAGCATTTTTAAATAAATCATTATTTTGAATGGATCGAATTTTAAGTGGGTGGGTGTATTTAAAATGGCTAAATATTTATGTTTTCACTTGAGACTTCTCGAACAAAAAAGGCACCAATTCACAAATTATTAATCCACAAATACCAACCTGCACTAAACTGATACATGTTTATTATATCTTCTGCTGCAACAATTTATTGCAAAATCACTACAGGCACATACTCGTTTGTAGTCTGAGATGAGAGCGAGTTAGTGTAGACGCGTTGAAAGCTAAAGAGAAAGTAAAAGTTGAAAAGTCTTTTGGTAGGTAGAGAGGGGGTAAACGTCAAACCACGTCGGGCGGCTCCGAGAATTTCACAGTAATGTTTACCTGCCAGTGTCGTTTCATAGAATAAGTAATTTTAAATTGTTATCGGCGGAACCGGACACTCGCATGTATTTATGGATTATAAATAATTATTAAACATGTATTATAATATTCAAATTATAATTTTACAAAATTTCAACAGCTATTCACAATTTATTAAACTATTTACTCGAAATTGTTATTAACATCTGTAAAATAATTTTGTACGCCAATGTATCGTGTCCACTTCGGTGAGATCCGCTGACAACCTGTCAATTTATGTGTATAAAGTGGGAGAACTGGCAAAAGCATTTCCAACTTTTACTTCTGTTCTACGCTTGCGAGCGTTCGGCGAACTATTCGCAGAGAGCTGCCGATTTTATGGCGAGCACAAAGAGATTTTCAGTTAGTTTGTGGACAGAAAACAACCAACGTACGCACTGAAATATGTTATTGTTACCGCTCGTTTCAAAATACTCAATTTCATTTGGAAAAGTAGTGAAAACTTTAGTATATTGTAAATAGCATTTTTTATACCTTAGAATGTAGTTATTTTTTTAGATTTTCCTAAATTATTTATTGATTTATGTCTTTGTCTTCATTGTGATAAAATAATAAAAAATATATGTATTTTATAGATTTTATGGCATTCATTTAACCAGATCCTAACCTCTTTAATGCAAAAAGTGATAAATATGTCCTTCCAATATGTGTACAAGTTTCACGTCATGAAATAATTTGACATAGATTTTTTGTCACTACAGATTGGAACGAAATGAGATTATTTTTTAAGATACGAAAATAATTCTTGTGGGGAAATAATGGCCCAATAACTGTCTGCCTTCAATTATAATTTTAACTTTTACCTACAAAGAGCCGAAATATACAGCTCACTAGGGCCGACAGTCGGGCTACAGTTATTTTGCCACCAATAACAGTTACAAGGCATTTAATATCTCAGAGTCACTTTGCCATCATACATATACCTTTAACTCTCCTTTATTATTTTAACTCTTAAAACTTCGATGTTGACTACAGACTCAATATTGTCTATTTTTAATATTTCAATAATTTATTGGAAAATGAAGGTCTAGTTTGAATTGCTGATCATTTTAATGATAATAATAAATAAATCATTGAAACATTAGCAATTAAATTTTTTCCTTAAATTAGACCTTCTTTTTACCACAAACTTCAAATTCAACTATAGATGGATTTTTGTCCTGCTTATCAACTTTCAGGTTAATTATTTAGAATCTAAACGGAAGATACATACATACGTATATAATAGACTGGGCCAAAAAAATAAAACAATTTTTTTTCTTAGCGGAACTATGAAAATATTGTTCATGACGACAAAAAAAAATTTTCCTGAAAGTTTAAGCCCTTAATAATAATATTAAGAGGTGCATCATTGCAGTTATTGATTTTTCAACAGTTGTCGCGTTTTTGCATAAATTTCGGACTTGGTAAATTTTAAAAATTTTCGTAAGACGAGTCTATTCTTTGTAATCTTAATATTTAAGTTCATTTTGGAAATCCCAAATGCAAAGTGAAAAATTGAAAATATATACCAATGTTTAAGGCTCGATTACAAAGAATAGACTCGTCTTACGAAAATTTACTAAGAGAGCTTTTTTGTGGGGAATTTAATTTCCTGCAAGGATAAGAGATGAAAAATTTTTTTAAAATTGACCAAGTCCGAAATTTATGCAAAAACGCGACAACTGTTGAAAAATCAATAACTGCAATGATGCACCTCTTAATATTATTATTAAGGGCTCAAATTTTCAGGAAATTTTTTTTTTGTCGTCATGAACAATATTTTCATAGTTCCGCTAAGAAAAAAAAATTGTATTAATTTTTTTGGCCCAGTCTAGTATATAATAACCATTTGCGGTTTAAAATTATATAAGCTCATAAAAATCACAGACATATGAGATGGGCAAGTAACTGTTCCCCAACGCAAGGCCAAGATAAATTTATGAATGCCCACAATCCATGAAAAATTAATAGCCTTTTAACATTTAGCCAACATCAATCACGACAAAGGGCCATCAGTTTCCCGATGTTTGATTGTTTGTCCCATAAATAAGTACAATAATTTTCACCGATAACAGAAACAGCAATAACTTTATTAAATAGATACTTTTTATTGTAAGTCATATATGCACAGAAGATAATAAATATTATAAGTGGTTTTAAAGGTAATTAACGAATATTTTGCAACATTTTTATCAAAAAAACCGTTATAACCAAAAAGTTTGGTTAGAACCTAATCGAATTTTTCTAAAAAAATCGAAAATGAACCGGACCCAGGACCGGATTCACTGGAACTCGAACCGTTTATTTAATTTCGGTCTAGGTCCCTGATGGAAGCTATATGTAGGTGTGTAACAGAACCTTGAAGCATACTGAGTTAATAATTTCGTTACAACGAATTTAATACGATTTAATACGATTTAATACGACTTAATACGATTTAATACGATTTAATACGATTTAATACGATTTAATACGATTTTATACGATTTTATACGATTTAATACGATTTAATACGATTTAATACGATTTAATACGATTTAATACGATTTAATACGATTTAATACGATTTAATACGATTTAATACGATTTAATACGATTTAATACGATTTAATACGATTTAATACGATTTAATACGATTTAATACGATTTAATACGATTTAATACGATTTAATACGATTTCATACGATTAGATAATTATTTTTCATTATATATTTATTATAATTTTTATTTATTTTTTAAACTACATAGGTTTGTTTCTTGATAAAGGTATTTTTTGCGGCATAAACCAACTTGAACGTTATAACCATAACATAATCTATCATAAAAGGTTAATGTTGGTTTATGCCGCGAAAAATACCTTATTCGCTTAGTGCGAAGTCATAAAAGGGGAAGCAAAAGCGATACTAGCGCTAGCTGGGGATAATTCGTGCATTTTTGGGCGATATTTTGTAATTTTGTTATATCAACACCTATACATTTTACTTTTTTTCAAAAAAATAGGTAAAATCAATACAATAAGCAACCGGAGTTGCTATGTTGTAAATTGTAAAAATACTACCAAAAAAACACTGTAAATTATAAAACTTTTCAGTAGCAAACTGAAAATTAAATCAAAGAAATAAATGGAAAGCTGTACAATAAGAAGAAAAATTACCTTTATTTTTGTAATAATAACAGCAATACTGGAAATATAGCAGTTGACATCAGAAACTTGAAAGGTTCTAAATAAACAATAAATTATCATTTTACGATGTTCTTCAACATCCAAATGTTCGGCAAGAACTAGATTTCTGTCTTTGACTATTGTATATGGCTGGAATGCAATTTTATAACTTACTGATAGAAAATCTGTTTTAATCATTTATTCTGTTTTCTTTCGAATAAAAATGTAAATATAAATAAGAATCCTTCTGTTTATACATTTTAACTTCACGCTATTTGGCTATTATTTAATGGTATTTTTTATTTTGACAGAATAGGTTAATTCTTTAGAAACAACTTATTCACTTATTAGACTTAGGCAACTTCTCATACATTTTCCTGTAAATACTGTTGCCTGTCTATATTTTATTTTTGATTTTTATAGATTATTACTTAGTTTTTTTTAGTTTAAGCGATAATAAGCGATAAAAATATATAATAATAATTAATGTTTCACTTGTTTTACAAATCCATATACTTTTATTAAAAATAACATATATACTTTTTAATTACGAATTTTATTAAAAATTGTATTGTTAGTATAGGCAAAAATAGTCCATTTATACATAAAAGAAGTGGCGCTGCTATCACGCATGGAGCAAATAGTCAGCTAGATATATGCCTAATTGAAAAAGCGCAAGAAATGCATTCGCGGCAGTTTTTAATTGGTTTAAACTTGGTTTGTCGATTCAGCCAAGACCTTCTTTACCAAAAGTAGTACCAGTAGGTAGTATAGACTACTATAGACGGTCGTAGGCTTGTTCGGGTTTTTTCTTAATATAACTGTAAACTGCAAACCGTCCGAGATCCAGTAGAATGTTTGAATAACAAATTATTCGTCGCGTAAAACTTTTCATTTAGTTGCGTAAAACTGGCCATATAGTACTTGAACAGTTTTTAACATATTTATGTGTTTCTGAAGAACTAGAACATACCTCCAATTATCCTTCCTCCATGATACCTCCGTGACAACTTATGATAGCCAAAATAATGAGGAACACACCAAAAATTACCGAACACACTTTTTATACTTGTCAAGTCGAATGTCGTTGTCAATTGTCAAATGTCAGATGTAATATTTTCAAAAGTTTTTATTTTTAAAGTGAAGTGAACGTATTTTTCATACATTTTGTAATATTTTAATTATTATTACTATGAATATAACCTGCGTTATATGCAGTGAATTATTTGTTTCTGGGGCAGATATATATTTTACACAGTGCGGTCATGTTTTTCATTATCATTGCCTAATTAGTTGGTTAGAAAGGTAAACATACAATTATTTTTTAGCGGTAAATGAAATTACGTAAAAAATTATATGTAAATAAGTACATTTTTTTGTGCTTGGCTTTTATAAGCATTTTAAAACTTACCAAAGTGTATATCGTATATATTACGACCACCAATCGAGTAGGTATTTAAGTACAAAACGGTAGCAGGGTGTTAAGTAGACAATTTTCTTATGCCATTTACTACATGTTATAAATTAATAAGAGTAAAACTTCGATATTATTTATATTTTCAAATTACATATCTATCCGATTTTGGCAAACATAAAAATGAGAAAATTAAAAAATATAAATATTTTTAAAATCATGTCTTTAACTTCACCAAAAGGTTCTAAAAATCAAGAATTTTGTTTTTAGAATATAGTTGGAACCGTCCTATTCTTGAGACATTAATAATTCTTAGGACTACCTAAGAAGTATTTCTTTAATAATGGTTTATACAAACCAGGGTCCCATTGAAGATTCTTCAATTTATATTAAAGCTTCCATGCAACTAAAAGCTTACATAAACAAAATAAAAACATTTCATACCATTCCTAAAGGATTGCTGAATAATCATGTACAATCAATATCAACTCTTTTTACTCCAAACATTGAATTGCTACAAGGTTCAACAAAAGTACATGAGGATGTGTTACTCAGTATAGAAGACTGTAATTATCTCCAGTACTATTTAAATGAAGAAAATAAAAAGAATGGTAAAAAAATATGGTTGCATGAATTGCTAGAAGGTTCTGAAATTATTTTACCAAAGAATAAAGAGGTTGCTAGAGATAAAGAACTTGAAAAAAGATGCAACAGTCTGAGACAACAACAAGCCAATGCAGCTTATTTTAGAATGACAAAGAATTTTGACATGAAAAAGTACTCCCCAGATGACACCATTGGATATCAATTGAAGCAAATTAACAAAGATTTATTAGCAGTTTTCCAGTTTATAATATCAGTTATTGTGGGCTTCATATTTGGTTTTTTTGGGATTGAACTATTGACTGGTTATATAGACCATGGTACCAAAATTGTACTGGGAATTGTTTGTGCAATAATTGTAGCAGTTGCTGAACTGTATTTTCTCATTAAACAACTTAATATTTAAAGAATTGCCTGATTTGGTGTGTGTAGATTAAATTCATATATTTGATTATTCTTCAGTATATTTTATTAAGAAATAAATAATTATTGTCATATATCTGAGACCATGTTTAATAATGTATAAAGAAATATCTAATTAACTATAGTAATATGTTAGTTAGTTATTTTATTAATTAATTATACAAGTTTTCCCTTCCTCTGGTAGCATCAGAGTGTTTAGCAAAATTACTGGTTGGTTGCCTACAGTGTAGTGTGTTCAACTCTACTTATTTTAAAATTGGATGCTAGTGTAACCATGTGTGAGTTTAGAGTAATTTATAGGTAAAAAACTGTCTTTAAATCTCACAAAGGTAGATGTGAGATTCAAACAACTATAGAATATTTTTAAATTGTTCTCTTTGTATTAAAGTAACGATGTTTTTACATACTCCCATAAATTCAATGTTCGATTATATGTCAGTTGAAAAGAACATTCAATGCTTATGCCTTGTTTATTTTCAAAATGATTCATTAAATTGTTCCATGTTATTTATGGAGCATAACAACCAATGGCAATGCTCTCTTACATCTTAAGATTTGGATCAGATTTCTTTTCTAGAACGGTCTTTATCCATGTTAAAATTAAATTAAAGGGCCTCACACCAATCAGATATGTTCCAATCAAACTTCTTATTCTAGAACCAGAAAATATTTTCCCACAATTTTTCACAGGCTATCAAATATTTAAAAACAAATAACTCAAGCATATCCTTTTATATTGCATGTTAATTAATAGAATAGATTTTAATAGGGTTTAACTTGCATTTTACACTATTTTCCTTGTTTCGCGGCAAAATAACTATCTAAATTGTTATGTTTATGCCTGTATTTATATGAACTAAAGTTAGTATGTTCCTAGTATCTTTGTTCTCTTTTCATAATTTCTATATTGTGCATTCCAGCACAATCAATCAAAATATACTTTATTGTCTAAGAAAACCAATTCTATTGACAAAGCATTAAAATATAAGTATCTATAAATAAGATAAGAAATAAAATTAATATTAAATACATGCAATACTAGGTAGGTACATAATTATATCAACAAGTAAAAAAAATACAATATAAGAGAGTAAATAAATTATACACTAGTAGTCAAAACTGTTATTATAAAACTTATGTAGGTTATAGTAAGCTTTTTCCAGCAGTAGTTCTTTTAACACTTTCGCTGCTTGGCTCTCTGCTTGCACATCTGTAGTGCCCACCGTCTTCTAAATAATGAATGAGACCTAATCATTTAAAGAATTGGGTATTGCGATTACAAACTAAAATTCTAAAACATAAAAATAACAGAATTATAGAAGGTATTTTAAAGAACTTTTACCAAAAACCAGTAATAACAGCAATAACTTTGCAGAAATAGAAATAAATGAAAATAAAATAATTGAAGATATTTATGAGATACTGAATGCTTTAAATAGTTATTATATAAATAATATAAGTGACATTATTAATGGTATAAATCATACTTCAAATCAACTTTTAATGACTCGAAGTAAAAATAATCACATAGGATGAGCTGGAAAAAATTGTTCTCTCAATGCCTAACAAGGGAAGTTCAGATGATATAAATATAACTTTTTTTTAAAAAATGTTACAGTAATATTTCTATGCCTCTATTAAATTTGATAAATTTGTCAATAGAAACTAATATGTTTCCAGATGATTTGAAAATTTCAATAGTACCAATTCCAAAAATTACCAACTTTAAGAAAGCTTCTGATCCAAGGCCAGTAAACTTGTTATCTTCAATTGAAAAAATATTAGAGAAAGTATGTATAATCAACTAATTGATTTTATACAAAGAAACAATTTGATTAACAGTGTTTAATCAGGTTTTATAACAAAACATACTTGTGAAATTGCTATGCCCTGTGTCATCGATGATTGGAAAACCAATAGATAAAAAAAACTTGTTACTGGTGCGCTTTTCTTAGACCTACAGAGAGCGTTTGAAAATGTTAATAGAGATTTACTCCTTAGAAAATTAGAAAGTTTTGGAATTGTAAAAGCGTTGGAGTGGGTGTATAGTTGCCTACACAAACGTAAACAAAAACTGAAAATAAATAACTTGATCTCAAATGAAATAGAAAATTGTTTTGGTGTACCTCAGGGAAGCGTGTTGGGCCCTTTACTCTTTTTTACTTTATATTGATAATATATAACAAATAGTCAATGAATGCCCAATCCACTTATTTGCAGATGAGGCACTGATTTCTTTCTCTTCCAATAACCTTCAGCATTTAGTTGTTGTTATGAATGGTGTGTTAAATCAAGTAAATTAACTCATCAAAAACGAAGTTTTTGTTAATAGGGAACACCAAATATTATGATGATTTTAACAATAATAATTTGAAAATATGTTAAGGAAATCAAGAAATTGAATTAGTAAAGAAAATAAAATATTTAGGTGATATTGTTGACCACACATTAAATTTTAAAGATCATGAAAACTATATAATTAAAACTTTTTCTTTTAAAATTAGTTATTTATTTAGAACTTCAAGCTTCCTCGATCAATGGACCAAAACAAAACATTGATGCTTCCACATTTGACATATTGCTCATCAATATTATACTTGTTAAATCAAAATGAATTAAGTAGAATCCAAAAATTGCAAAATAGGGCTATACGAATCATTCTTGCAGTAAATACACCCCCATTCAGAAAATGCTTAAATCATTGAGTTGGCTTTCAGACAAAGATAATTTTTTATTTCAAACACTAATTTTAATTTTTTAAATAAAAAAAAGAGATAATGACTACATACTTGGTAAATAATACCAAATACAATTTGAATCCACACCATAATGACTTATATTTCACAAACCTTTGGTAATAGTGGAAAAAACTCTGTGTTTCTTAATGGTTTACAAACATTTAATAAACTACCAGTACATGTGAAAAGCGCTTATTCACTTACCAATTTTAAGCATGAACTAAAGCACCACTTATTGACATAATTTTATAATATTCTTTATAGTGAAATATTTATATATTACAAAATTATATTTATACTCTTATTTTTTAATCACTGCTGTTTTTATGTATTATGTATTTTTTTATTATTGAATGTATTAGCAAATTGCTAAATAAAGGATTTATGTAAATGGAAGAATGAACTTATTGTATGGTCTTGGCTGAGATGATATACCTAAATTATTTTTATGTATTAAATATCACTTCCTCTGATATGAATAGCCTAGTCAGAGTTAATATTTGGAATTCAATAAATGGTTTACAGTGATCTATATAACCAGCTTTGGCTAATGATCTTACAGACCTTTTTTGAAGAACTAAAACAGTCCAGAAGATACTGCAAGCTATTTCCCCAAAACACAATTCCATACCTCAAATGGGAATGAAGCGTAATAAACTGTTTTTGACATCAAGGTACCCAGTTCCTTAGTAACTACCAGGGCTGCAAAACAGCTAATATCTAATATCTTGTGTTCATCAATTTTTAAAAATGATTTTCTATGTAAAGGCCATGGAACTTCAAGCATTACACATTATCAATGGTTTGTTCGCTAAGAACAAGATCATTAAAATAAAATTTAATTGAAACAACGTTTGTTTTTTGGTGTTAAATCTCAAGCAATTAGAGTCACACCAGTCTTTAATTGTTTTGAGAAGATCACATAAAATATAGTTTTTAAGATCTTTAGCATCTTTTCAATTCCAAAGTTTCCAAATATTTTAACTTGTGTTAAATCGTTAATATATAGCAAGAAAAGAACTGGTCCTAAAACAGGTCCTTGTGGAACTCTATATATTAATTTGGAGCTGTTTGAGATTCTACATTTCTATCTTTACAGCTTGTGTTCCATTTGATAAGTATATTTTAAACGAATTTAGTGTTAAATTTTGAAAACAGTACGAGGACAATTTTTCCAAAATTATGTTATGTCTGACACAATCAAAGACTTCGAAAAGTCACGAACGACAGTTTAAGCTAATGTAGGCTTTCTTAAAAAGAGAAAATATGGCATCCATGGTGTTTAGCAACAAATTCAATAATTTGAGTTTTTACCAGCCATTCTATGATTTTGGATAATGTAGGAAGTAAAGATATGGGTCTGAAGTTAGAGGAGCCTTCCAGACTACCACTCTTATGTAAGGGTATGAGGATTGCTCTCTTTGAACATGCTGGAAAAATGTCTTTCATAAATGACACATTAATTGCCTCAATCAATGCATAAAGGGCAGAGCCTGGAATATTTTTAATTTTTTTTTTTTTTTGAAATTCCGTGCTCTCTAGTACCTTTCTTGTTTATTAATGACTTTATGACTTGTTTTGTTTCACATATATTCATATTTCTTGTATGACAGTCTTCTATATTTATGTCTTTTATATATTTTAAAGGGCCATGTTTGGAACCAAGTTTAAAGTAAGATCATCAACAATGGACGTGTAAAAATCATTAAATTGGTCAGGTGAAATGTTAGCAGATGTTCCTTATATAACTTTAAAATTATAATATATACTAATACAAAATTCCGAATCAATTAAAATGCATACGATACGGCTATGAATAAATAAAGTCTGGCTTATCTGTCAAAAGAAAAGGTTTATTACAGTAAAAACCATGGAAACATGATTAAATCTAAACGAAAACTTTAATTATGCCGATCAGATGTATTAAAATCTTCATTTTAACTACAAATAAGCATTGAAGGATGAGATATAAATAAAATGTCTACCTCTTGAACCTGTACTACATTCTGCAAATTAAATTACTCCACTCCTTTCTTCTCTAGACTATAATAAGTGTATCAAATTTAAAATGAATCGGCAAACTAGTAAAAAGTTAGGTATAAAAACATATTTTTTGACACATTTCGCTACTTTTGAGTTTTTAAGAAAACGCCATATGAACTTTATATATATATATATATATTTTTTTTGTAGAATCGGCCTCTGAATTTTTTCTCATCATTTCTGTATAAGGACCTGAGATTTTTTGATGAGATTCGTATAGGTACTTTTTGTTATCCATACCTTTTTCTTCTTGCCTTTAATTTTCAAAATGTTTAGATTTTATGAATTATTGAAATAGGATCAGGGTTATGCAAACAATTTGACTAGTTGAATTTTTCACAATGTGATCTGAATTTGCTATAGTTTTTTCTGCTATACATTCTACCATATCTAAATCTCTTTTGTATCGTACATTTAAGTAAATAATTGCAAGAGAAGCTCATAGGTTGTACTTTATATTGTTTCTGTACAACAAAGTTTATTATTTTGTTTAAGATTTTCCCATTTCAATGCCATAAATCGATATAAAACACATGAGAGGTTTCAAAAACTTTATAGGTCTTAAAAAATGGAAAAAAATTCTTTAGTTTGAAATTAACGTATTTCTAAAAAAATAGCTTATTTAAAAAAAAAAAAATTTTCTTGTTTATTGCTATTTATTAACAACTAACGACAAAAATTTAGAAACAATTTTATTAAACATTTAGAAAACGGTTTTTTAATATTACTGTTGACTTATTTTTAGATCAAAAAGTTGTCCACAATGTCGAAACAGGGTTACCGAAAAAACGATACACAAAGCTTATTTCAATATTTCAAATGCTGAGCAAGCTCAAGATGCCGCCATTTTATTGCACAAACTAGATAACGCAAATTTCTCAATATCTCTAAAAGAAAAGGAAATAAAAACCATAAATGAAAAGAAATACAAATTAAAACAACAAAATAAGTCATTAAGAGAAGAAGTTGCTAGACTAGAAAATAATGATCGAACTATGGAATCAACAATGCATGCTTTTAAGGACCAAATCGTCTATTTTAAGTCAAAAGCGAAGGACACTGATCGACTATCGGATGAAATTATTAAATTAAAAAGTACCATTAGAAACATGGAAAACGTTGAGGCAGTTCTTAAAGCATCTAGAGAGCAGGTCAATAATATCCTAAGAGATGAGCATAATGTCGAATCTTTAGCTCTATTGGCAGCCACTCTAAAAAAGTATGTATGCAACTTTATATTAGGAATTAATTTTTGAATATGTTTAAGAGACTTTTTTTATTAATTATATAGAGCTCTTCTGGATTCCGAAAAAAAAGTACGAGAAATAGACTTCAGTTTGAAAAAACTAAAAAACGAATACAGGAAACTCAAGAAAGATTATGACTTACTTCAGACACAAAATGCAGACTCAAGGTATAAAAATGGCATGGCCTAAAAATATAAAATAATACTTCAATTAATTTTTACAGGAGGGAATTGCAACAACTAAAAATAAAAAATGAAAAAGAAAGAAACATATTGAAGCAGAGATTAAAAGGTGCAAGTATAAACAATATTATAGTTGCCAATCCTGAGGCAGGTTCTCCTAAATTGACGACAAGTATATCAGAACTAAATATGTCCAACCTTGAAACATCAACTAATGCATCACTTAAGGAGCAGGATCATTCATTAAGCACATCACTCACAGTGGTAAATCTACAACATGATAGTAAAGGGGTCCATTGCAAAATGTTGAGTCAATCACTAGTATGGCTAAATTTTTATGGAGACGTTTGGAATGGAGTGTTAATACACTTAAGATTTATTGTGTCCCTTTCTGTCGCTAAAGCAGCAAGGAAATGTCTCGATGCATATAACAACCCTTCCAATCCTATCTTCTTAAGGAAGTGTAGGATTTGACGTAGCTTCAAGTTAGGTAAATCTCCCTCTTCTCTTTGATATGCTCCTAAGTATAATGCCCTTCTGGAGTGCTGCACATAATCTGCACTATCTTCTACTAATCTAAGTATACTGAAGTGTCCTTTGAGTCAGCAATTCCCAGTAAGGATTCCTGTTATAATGCGTAGCCTGTTCTTGTTCAGGCAAATACAGGCTTCCGATCTGTTCGTCGCTTTTTTAGTCAATCTAAATACTGTTACTCATTACCCTACAGTGTGCTGCGGTCGTCATAAATAAAGGTACGAGTAAAAGAAGAAAGGAGAATATTCGAGAAATGTCATTCCACGTCAAGAATCATCTGGACGTTTTGGGGAGGTTCTAGAACAGCCATACTCAATTTTTTTTCTTCAGACCATATTCGTATGTTTGCTATGTTATATGGGCCACAAAATTTTGGAAGATGAACCTTTTTTTTAGGATATCCATTTAAAATTAGTGGGGACCTCTAATAAATTAAACACAAAACATAAATATATCCCGTCAAGTTTCTCTTAAAATTGAATAAACAAGCAGTAGAAGCTTAAAACTCTTTAATAAACAATTCTAATGAAAAAAACGTATTTAAAAAATAATTAGTATTTACAAAGTATATACTAAGAATCCACATCGATTGGTAACAAAAGCAAAAGAAAAAAAAAGGAAAAAACGTTACTTAGCTTATTTTAGATGTCTACAAACATATAATATTCAATGTATGTGTCACTATTTTCAATGAAAGATTGAAGTACCGTATCTTTAACATTATTGGATACAGGTAGATTGTGACAGTAATGGTGAAATTTTTAAGGTGTAGCACCTGATTTGCAAAGTTTCAGTATATCTTGTACTTTTTTGTAAGTATTTTCAGAGCTATATTTGTCACCCTTTCAGGCATGCCTCTGTTGATTTTTGAAGGTTAGCTGTATCTCAAAGAGAGGGTGACATAATCACCTTTTTGATTTTGGAACACTCGAGAAAAAACAGAGACGGCTCTAGACAAAACAAATAATAATAATATTTGTTAATGCCAGGAACAATATTATACAGAAAAAATACACATAAAATTGTATGGTATAAGTCAGAAGCCAGGATAATCTGTACTAGTTTGATAACCTACAAAGTGCACACTGGGGTGACTTAAAAATTAATATAGTGGTGCATTTGATAAGAAATATGTTGATTTCACAAAGTATTTACAAATAATATTTACTTACAATCACTTCATTTACATTATCTAAGCTGTAAGGCTCAATAGAAATCAAAATTTGTTTATCCTTATTTTTGAAAGCTGATAGACTCTTAGTATTTTTTAAAAGATCAGGAAGCATATCGCACCTTTAATCATAAAGTGACATAAATCAAAATTTTGAGATTTTGAGTTTCGGTAATAAAACGATCCAAAATAGTGCGATCTATTGAGGTAACTCCGACCTACGTTGAAATAGTCAGCCAGGATTTATATTTGCGCCAGTTTAGATCTATAGGATTTTGAGAGGTGTTCTAGACCTAAAGCGACATATTGTTAGTTGTGTGCCAATAGTGACAGGGTTTAAAATAGCATTCTTTGCAAATTTGCTTCTAAAGAGACATTTTTTGCTTTGTTACTTGAAAAATTTTTGTAATATAATCCAAGAAAAGAACTATTCCAAAATAATACTAAAATCGTTATGCAATTTTTAGTCATAAATTGACACATTTCGTATTGATACATATTCTTTTTATTGCAAAAGTGACATAATTGTGAATTTTTTTCTTACCAATAGTAAAACTATTTTTCCTTCTTTAAAATAAAACTAAATCATACATACATCTTTAAAATATTGCTTAACCTTTTCTTATCATTCATTTATTCATAATTATTCGTATATTTTCTCAAAGTTTAAATATACTAAGACAGCTCCAAATATAAAACAGTTTTTGGCAGATTCTACGAAACTAGCATTTTTTAGTTGTGCCACTTTATGATTAAAGGTGCGATATTATTAAATTGCAAACATTTGTAACAGCATCCCTTTTCCAGTAGGGTAGTTCTATGCGTCGGTAGACAAACATTATTTCTAAACCTTGTGTTGTGAAGGTGGTCTGCTATATATTCGTTGAATATACTTTTATTTTTATACACAAACATAATACACTCATGCGTAACTAGCATATACTGTCAACAAATTTAGATTTTTAAAGTGACCTCTACATGATTATGTAAGCTTTATATTAGCCATATTCGAATTGCTCTTTTTTGTATTACAAAGATTTCTTGACAGTGTGAACCTTCCCTAAAAATAATTCCATAGCACATTGAAGATAAAACAGATCGAACATAAATGCCAACGCCGCCACCATGTCTGTTTCTGTCTTTACAAAAAATATATATATAATTAGGAATCGCAACATCAGAATCGTTTACCTATGTCATTCGAAAGCCAAGTTTCAGAAACCGCCAAAGAGCACGTCGTAATCTGTTATACAGCATTTTGTTTTTCAAAAAAGAAAAAACAATAATTGTTCTTGATAAAATGTTCCGCATCACTTGGGAATCCATAATCAAACATTAAGTTTTTAAACTATAAGTGGTATACATGAAAAATAAAATACTTAATTTCATTATAGAGCAAAATATTAAATGTTGATAGAAATTAAAATATGTACTTAAACGAAAGCTAAAATGTATATTGGAATTTTTTGTCGTTAACAATGTGTGAGGTAAATTAATTGCAATAGACAATAAAAAAAAAATGCTATTTTCCCCATATACCACCTGAAGACCACATGGGGAAAATCAGACTTGTCCATTATTTGAATCAAAACTGATAAAAATGCATTATTAGTGGAGAATCTTGATTATAGAGAATACTTTTGAATATGTTTTGTTTTTCGTCTGTTTACATCAAATTAATATTTTGTAGATGTGTGGATAGTGATAAAAGTGTAAATAGTTTGAGTATATGGTCATTATAGAAGAAATATTTAAGAATGTGCAGAAAAAATATGGAATAAAACAGATAATATGTACAATATTATACAAATAATTTTGATGGAAACTTGAGAAAAACATACTTTAATAATGTGAAACTAGAGTAATATTCTTAAAAACCAAACTAAATAAAAAATAAAATTGGAAACAAAAAATTAAAGCCAAGTTTATTGAGGTAAAACTAAAGTAACATTCTTCAAAATATATTGAAATAACATCTGGACAAAAATAAATTATAAACCAAAAGGGAAAAAACAAAATTAAATAAAAAATATAAAAATTATGCTTTACTTTTCTTAAATTCTTGGTCTAAGACGTTTAAAAAAAAGGTGGGAAATCCTCCCATTTAAAAACTACTAGATATTAAAACAAAAAGCAGCAAATTTTCATAGATTTAATACAGAATGGGGCGCAAATATTTTTTTTTTGAAATGCCTTTCAAAATATGCCGTTACGATTATTACCTCAAAATTTCACAAAAATCGGACTAAAAATAGAGGCTCAGAAGGAATTATAAATTAGCGTAAAACTTGTGAATTTTTACCCCAAAAGCTGATGTTATTTTTTTATAATCTGGATGTGATATCGATAGAAATTAAATTTCTGCTAATACGGCATCCATTAAATCCTATAAAGAACCATGCAAATAAGTTCACGTGGTCTTCAGTAGGATTCGAAGCCATAGTGTGTCTCTTACCACAAAATTGCTCGCAGATAAATGCGAGCGCGTTAAGACACCTACGCCGTCGATCCGATTGTGTATTCAGACATTGTTGTTAACTATATTATACAGTGTCTCCTAGTTTTATATGAGAAATAGTATTGTTTTTTCAAAACACATTGTGTAATTAAGAAAAGTTTAAAGTCTTAACAATTTTATAAATTGCAATAAACAAAAACTGTCAAAACTCTATTTACTTCCTTCTATTGAAAATTATTTACCTCGCCCTCTGATTTAGATTTACAGGAACGTTTTTAATATAATTAACAATAAAAACAAAAAACAGTTAAACTATCTATAAAAATAATAGAAAAATTAAATATTCCGAGTACATGAAAGCACGATCCTCTAGATATTTTCTTGTTGGAAATTTCGCGACCTTTCAAACAGTATTTATTTTGACTACAAAAACAACTAGTATATAAAAACAATGTCTTTATAGTTATTTTGGCCCCATCAGCCACTCTTAAAGAAAAGGATAATTGACGGCAGCCGGGTAAATTTTCTAGAAAAGCGATGTGTTAAGGATTGCACATTTTTTAAATTATTAAGTTTTTTATAACGTAAAATGCACCATATTTGCGCGACTGCCAACTATTATGTTACCCGAAGTCTCCATGAAAATGCTATATAATCAACCCAACATTTTGCAATGGGCTGCTATACTATTTGATATTTTAGTTATAAATTACGGAATTTTCTTATTTAGTTTAAAAGTCCTATATATTATATATTTTTTATATTTCTAGGATACCGATTTTTTTTTTTTTTTTTTTTAGGTAGAACGTGTAGAAAATATTGTTAATTCTGATTCACCATACCTACCTGTAAAATCTAATTTTGGTTCTTTCTTGGATACTAAATTTCAAGCACCTTCTGATAAACCAGAATCGTCTTTAAATAAAGAAGTAAAGTTTATTATTTTAATATATTTCTAATTCCAGAAAATGATTTAAAATTGTAATTATCGTTAGTATAAAAAATAGTAAACATTTTTATAATTGCCAGTTTTTTCCGTTGTAGTCATAGAAAAAAATTTTTTTAGTACTCGTTTTTGAAGAAGAGTCAAAAAGTGCCAGAGATTAAAAGTGGAACCAAAAATGATGAAGTATGTTACAATGGATTAGGAGGTTCACAGAGAGAAGACATTTATCCAATACCAAAAGGATTGAAACGAAATAAATCTAGTAGCTCAATTTCTTCAAGGAAATTTAAAAAACTTGCTCCTAATATGAATTCCAAGACCACTATTACACAGTTCGTAAACCTTTGTGAATAGCAGTTTTATTTATTTGTTTAATATAAGTTTTTTATTATATTATTAGCGTTTTAATGATATAAAATCCATATAATCATAAAAATAAATAATTTATTATACTATACATTTTTGTTGCTGAGAAAAACTATTATTTTTTGAATTTAATAAGGCCTACAGAAAAAAGTAAAAATTATTGATTTGTACTGTAATAGTCTGCAATAGATAAGTATATTAATACATTTAGATTCAGTTGCTGTCCAGCCGCCCAAAAGGTAATTTTTTTGCATTTAGTTCTGTAAGGAACATTAAATAAAATGTTGGAGAAAAAAAAACATCAAACTTATAAAATTATTTATTTTATCCTAGTCAAACCATCTATTTTTTAGATTTAGCGTCCATTTCTGCTTTCCTCTCCACTGCTCTCTTGAGTTGTTGTTTTGTACTCAAGTTGTGCCTTTTAGAAAACCTCTGGTTCTTCAAGAATTTAGCATCCATCTAAAAAACATTGAAAAATTGTATTTTTTTTTAGTTTTATTACATCACTGAACTATAGTCTATATAAAAGGCCTAGTCTACAGAGAACCCTGTACAAGACAAACTTAATGACTACAACTTTTCATATTAAACAAAACTAGAGTGAAAATGTACAGAAAAATAGTGTTTTCTCACAATTAGGCCATTTATACAAATTACAATCCATTTATGCAAAGTAATTTAAGGCCGCGCTATCATGAGGAGATATCATTTAATAGTTTTTCATTTGCCTCCAATCAGCTAACTGAATAATATATGAATAGCAAACCATTTTTTTATTTTAAAAGAAGAAAGTTACTAAAGTTTTGGGTAACACATCACAGCAATTGTACTGAACTAAAATCTAGTGACAAAATGGCTATTTTCTAATATTTGCAAGAATTTTTAACTTCCATGCAGATCTATGAGTTTATTATGTGTTTATTTACAACAATGATAAAGTGTAGTATACAAAAATTTTTGGAGAATTCATTGATATACAAGAATTTTTGTATTACTTCTTCAATTTTGAATTACATTTAAATACATTACTGGATCTGCATGCCTGTAAGTTTGTGAATAAAATTATATTTTTATCTTATTATGCAAATCTTTTTAGCAATATAAATGGTATCATCATAAAGTTAATACCATACAGAATCATAAAATATTTTGAAAACTTGAATGAAGTACACATTTTTTAAATTAACTTGCACAAAAGGAGAGTGTTTTTTTACATGTCTTATTTTGCCGCCATTTGTCGGGAAACAGCCTTTTAAGGTGGATTCATAAACTATGTATGTTCAGTTCACGCTCAGTTCGAGTTCAACATAAACAGAGCAGAATGACAGGGTAAGTATGTTTTGGATAAGAAATTATAAGGGATTCATAATTATTTTATAACCAACACCATCTACAAATATAATTAAAACAAAAATAACAAAATATAATTTTATTTTGTGGAATTTGTGGTTGTCTTGCCATCTCAAACTGAACATAGTTTATGAATCCACTGTAAGAGTAAACATTTTAAACCAAAGTATAAACTGTAGAATTCAAAACTATAAAATGTTTTTTTTTAATGAAACCACAAATTAAAGAAGTCTGTGAAATCTAAAAATACTCTCATTTGACTACTATTCAGGTTTTGTGCCTGACAATCTCTGAATTTGAACATATCTACATTTGTATGAGAAAGCTATCATTTAGTAATAACTACCTTTACCTACCTATGTGCAGTATTTTTTTTTGAACAAGCAGAAATATAAACTTTTTGACTGTTAGAAAAAGTTATCCTTGAGTCACATAAAACATGAAAATGGTAAAAGTTCTAAGACCTGTCCTTAACTTACCCCTAAAGTAGATTCATGACGGTATTGTTTGGGTTTCTTGATACCATTACGATGGGCTTTGCGGTCTAAAAACAAACAAGCTGTAATGAAGTTAAAATAAAGTAAGAAATAACTTACTCTGATTGTGATTTGTATGATTCTTTGACTTTGCCATTGTTGTTCTACTGTATAACCTAAAATATTAATTTCTAAATTAATAAAATTTAATAAAAAAAAATAAATATGCAGAAATATTATTTATGCCAACTAAAACGTATTAAACAATAATTTTCTACAATATTTCCAAAGATGATTAAAATAAATTAAAATTAAATTTACCTCAACAGAAAATTCTCAACTGTCAACTAAAAGAAATCTTTCCTCTTCTTTCTCTTTCGTAGTCGTTTTTTCTATTGACTTGAAAATATTGGCTGCACAGCCAATTTTGTTCAGAAAAAAAGAATTCCATGTTTATAAAATTTATCGACACTTGCACCTATTACACTATTACAGGGCGTGGATCCACGAGGGGAACTGGAGGAAGGTCCCCCCAAAATATAAAACTGTACATACTGACGGTAGTCTTCGTTTATTTAAAGTTCCCTTCAACCCCACCCAAACATCTGGTTTGAATTCACTTCTGACTCATTAATAAGATATAATATAATAATATTTCTTTTTAATAAATGATTTTGAAGTTATTTGTACTTAGTTTGATGTTTTTTGTTTTATTTAACATTGACTTTGAATGTCAACTCCTTTTTTCATGAAATACGTAGATATAGGCAACATATTATACACTACTTACATCAAATTTTCAGTTTTATATTATATATTTCTTGTGTGCATTTTAAGTGAAAAGTTCGTTGCCGGTTTCGACAGATTGCCGCACTCCGCTACGCGTCGCGCGGCGACTTTCTATCTCAAGCGGCAAAAGTATCACTTTTTTTCTTAATACACAAATAGCTATTCTTTTTATTATAGCTATTAATAACCGCATTCTATAAATTTGTAGTACATTAGTTTTTATTTGTACTGTTTTTTTATATTTTCCCTACTTTGGTTGTAGTTTTGTTTTATTATAAAATTCTAGAGTGTAGGGGGTATGGTATGCCCTTACGAGTTTTGCTAATTACATAAATACGATTCACATTGAGAAACTCTATTTTATTATACAAGGAACGCAAAAAATACAATTGTGGATTAGCAAAATTAAAATGTTTAAAACCACTTAAATAAAAAAAAATTCACTTGGCTTTTTGATTTCTCGTTACAATTTTTATTTTCGTCTGTAAACAGATAAGTGTAGGAATCATGATTTTTTTGATCTGGAGTTTTCCACGAATTTTTACGTTTTGGGGTCCCCTGAAAACGTTTTGACTAATTTTGTGATGTTGTCTATGTCTCTGTATAGGTACTCAATAACTCATGAACGAATAAAAAGAAATACACTGATTTTTAAACTTTAATGCATCCTCTAATGAGTTGATTAGATTTTGGGCATAGTCGGAACATCTGACACTTTATATGAGGCAGTTTTTCTACTTTATGGAATATATCTGTTATGTACGGTTGGAGAAGAAAATTCTTCAAATAAAGGTTGCTTGTTATTCTCTATTATAAGACCAATCTTTTATTTTAATATGAAGTTTCTAAAATTTAAAATTGAATGATAACCTTTAAGTTATGTACCCATTATAATGATATCATCAAATGTTACAAGTTCATTTAATTACGTGAACAAAAAAAGAATTTATAAATTTAAAAAGGGTTTTTATTATACTTTAAAGTTTTTTTATCAATGAAAATAAATAATTATGACAAATTAAATTATGACAAATTTCTATAAAGTTGTTTTTACAGTAAAATGGTATTCAACTTAATAAACTAGAATGAAGATAATTATATCATGCTTGGCATTCCATACTATACTCGTTACAGTTCAAGCCCCCATTTTTAATCAAATTTTTTCAGAATCAATAGAAGCTTCATCTTCTTTGTAGAGCTTTTTATAGTTTTTTGTTTCCGAGTTAGAATTGTTTTTAATATTTCCCACTTTTAAATATTTTCTTTCAGAATCAATAGATTTTATCCCTTTATAGAGCTTTTTTTACTAAAAAATTAGTGTTGATATTGTTTTTTTATTTTTTATTTTTTTTATTTTGAACCTCCCAGTTGTTGTTCATTTTTTTTTTCAAAATCATTAGTCTTCGTCCCCATACAGCTTGATTTTGTTGATAAAAAAATCAAGTCGATATCGTTTTTCGTTTGTTACGTTTTTTTAATATTTTAACGACCTTTACCCCATTTTTACTTTCCTGTCTGTATAAAGATAAGGAAAGTATAGGAATTATTTTTTTTTCTACCTCGTGTTTTTGATGGATTTTTACGTTTTGGGGTCCCCTAAATTCGTTTTGCCTATTTTCACGATTATGTCTGTGTGTGTGTCTGTATACTTGATAACTAATTAACAAATACAGAGAAAAACACCAAATTTTAAACTTAAGCTTTATTCTGTCCTGCGGTGAGCTGGACCTTATACAGGGTGTACCAATAAAAACTCCCAGGCTGGATATTTTGGTAATAGAGATATTTTAATTCTGTAAAAGCCAGTTTACAGAGCACTAATAAGTAGATGACGCTGCGCTTAATAATTTTTTTTCGATGGGAGTATCTTTCTTGTGTAGCGCATCTTGTGAAAAATGCATTTTTAAGCAGATTTTGTTCTATGAACTAATTCGATAAATCTAGCCATTTTTGATATACGGAGTGGGTCACTCAAAACAGTATCATCCTATTCTTCAGTATTAATCATTGGATTTTAAGAAAATGCTAAAACAGGTCGATTGCCCTGCACTCCCTTGCACTTCTCCAACACCTTAATTTTAAATAGGTAATGTACCATGTATGGCACATCATTGAAAAGGTAATTTAATGGGAGATTCAGAAATATTTCTGTACATTGCATTACCTAAATTGTATCGCCCTCTAGCTGGATAAAAAACTACTACGTATTATAGAGTGTGACTCTACAATGTGTAGTACATCATTAAAAAGGTAATTTTATGGGGAATTTAAAAATATGACTGTTCATTGCGATACCTTTAATTATACCGCCTTCTATCGGGATAAAAAAAATGTACGTATTATAAAGTGTGACACCTTATTTGAAAGCAAATTTAATTACTAATTCAATGCACCACATATCTTATTATAAATATCCTCCATATTGTACTTGCAATAGTTTGAAAATTAGTCATGCATTATTTTAAACATTATTACTACCTTTATTTTGTTGCAAGTGCAATATGGAAATATTTATACTGTTATATGGTGAATTGAATTAGTAATTAAATTAGCTTTCAAATGAAGTGTCACACTTTATAATACGTCACAGGGTGCTAAAATTAAAAGCATCGAAATAAAAAAATCATATTTCTGACACCTTTTCAATGATGTGCCGTACATGGTACATTCCTTATTAAAATTAAGGGGTTGGAGAAGTGGAAGGGAGGGGATTGACACATGACAGATGTCTGTATTGTAAAAAAGTGTTCAATTTGAAATAAAAATCGACATATTTTAGAATTTTCTAAAAATCCAATGATTAATGCCGAAAAACAGGATGAAACTGTTTTGAGTTACCCACTCTGTATAAACAAAATGGCTAGATTTATTGAATTAGTTTAAAAAAAAAATCTGCTTAAAAATCCATTTTTTACCAGATGCGCTACATAAGGAAGATCTTCCCATCGAAAAAAAAATATTTAGCGCAGCGCCATCTACATATTGACCTATTTAAAATTAATTTATATCTAAAACTGAAGCTCTCTTAGCGCTCTATAAACTGGCTTTTACACAATTAAAATATCCCTATTACTTACCAAAATATCCGGCCTGTGAGTTTTTATTGGTACACCCTGTATAAGGTAACTTTCCTACTTCATGGAATATAGGTATGTTATTTACACTTGAAGAAGAAAATTCTTTAAATAAAAGTCGCTTGTAATATTATTCTCAATTTTTGCCCTACATAAAATTTTCCTTAATTGGTCCGTATCTAGAAAATTGACAAAAACTAAAATATTTAAATTTTTAAGAAAATTGTTTGTGATGTCATTTTCTGTAATTTTTGTCCTATACAATTTCTCTAAAATGGACCGTTTTGATATTTGAGGAAAATAAATATAACTCAAAAACGAAGAGGGTACTTTATAGAAGGTAGTTTTTCTACTTTATAGAATGTTATTTTCGCTTGAGGAAGAAAATTTTTCAAATAAAAATTGCTTTTAATTCTCTATAATTTTTGTCCTATACATAACTTTCCTAAAAATTTGACAAAAATTACAAAATTCGAATTTTTAAGAAAATTGTTCAGTTAAAAGTTGTTTGCAATATCATTCTCTACAATTTTTGTTTTATACATGATGTCTCTAACATGGAAAAATTTGACTAAGTGTAAAATTTTATTTATCAGTATTTTCATTGGCAATGAATATACCGGGTGTTCAAATTAAAGTGTTGCAGTTAAATACTGCCAAAAATATGCTTTTATAAAAAAAAAGTTTCAGACAAAAGTTTTAGTTTTTTGGGGGAAAAATTTTGGCGAAATTTTTTTATATAGCCGACCATAATATGGCCGTATCGAGGTGGACTTTTTTTATTTCAAATTGGAACCCCTTTTTTACCTATATTCTTAAATTTCAAAAAAAAATAAGAAACTTTTAAAGGAAACATTTTTTTTGACTTTTACTTATTGAGTATTGAGTAACACCTACTTGAAAATTTTGCTGTGCGAAAAAAGTTGGCCACTTATGGTTAGCTATAAAAAAGATTTCAGCCAAAGTGTTTACCCCAAAAAATATAAAACTTTCGCCTGAAACGTTTTTTATAAAGGGTGGTATTTAACTATAACACTTTAATTTGAACACCCGGTATATAAAAAATGTTTTCAGTAAGATGTGTGTGGAAAATGAAAATGTATATATAAACTTTTACAGTGGTGATAAAATAAGTCATACAAAATAACCAGAAAAAGCCTGTAATAACTAAACAAGTAAGTCATGTGTTGAACACATCAATTTTTATTTAATTTTTTTTTTTTCGTTTTATTACTTATCGTACGGACAATAAACGTGACATTGAATGGACGGATATTTTTAAAAGTTGTTTAAAATTCGATGAGGATTTTTGTACAAAAAATTTTAAAAATGGATCACTATTTAAAAATTTTAGTTTCTCAAAAGTAAATCTAACACTACTACTGTGTGAATTAAACAATCTGGTACAGGAAGAAAAAAAATCATAATTCAGCTAGTTTATTAAAAAAAAAAAATAATTACCAATGAGCTAGACTTTCTTTTTAGTTACTATATCTAAAGATAATTATATTTTTAATAAATTCAAACATCTAACTTAAACTTATAGAATGAAGTTGGTTGTACAACCAGTGTCAATAAACACATATAAATTATTATATTGCATCATCTTTATTAGTAATAACTCTTTTAATTTTGTACCAAGCTGTATTAATAAGAAACAAATTTGTGTTCATTTTAATTTAATTTTGTATAATTTTATGTATGGCACATAATTTATTAAGAACCTAGCCAGACTATATATTATGTGCCTGAACTCATATATATTACAATTTTGTGAGAAAAATAAAATGTGATTAATCCTGTAGAAGACATTTTAAAACATTTAAATCTTTTATATATATACACACAGTATTTGTGTGATTAAATTTGTTTTAAACATCCACACATGAACAACTTTATAAATTATTAACTTTCCTCAATGCTTACTTTATTAATTAAATGTTTTTTATAAAATATTTACCATTTTAATATTTTGTCAGTGCATCAGAAGAATCATTTCAGACAATAGAAATATATAACTTATATGTTAATTTTGGCACCCAACATATAATAAATAACAAGGCACTAATTTGACATAAAATATTTCTACTCATTACCTGCTGGGTTAGATTTACCTAAATTGCATAACATTTCCCCCTCGTAATACATTTTTTATTCATTCTTAAAAAATTTAGATAATTAGGTATTAAGATATTTTTTTATAAATGAACAGTATTATTCACTTCCTATTATTATTTATGCAAGTGGATAATTTTAAGAGGTATTCATAATATAAAACGCCAGATTACCAACCCTCTAGCATTGCAAAGCAATACATTTATTGTAAATTTTCCAAAAGATTACAGCAATAATTAATATAAAATACTGAGAAGTATATGTAACTTTAAAAGTTAATCGAATTAGCCAAAAATAAATGAGGTAACATGCAGTCAAATATGTTAAAATATTAACATTGTTAAGTACAAAATTTTGATTTTCTACTCTTCACCATAAGCCAGATGAGAAGCCTCCAGGGGGAACTCTGACTCTGGACTGTGGAGCTGGTGGATCATTATTTACTTTGGCCTGGGGAACTGAAGGCGCACTAGCCCTGGATTCTGGAGCAGGATGATCATTCTTTATTACTGGAGCAGGAGGATCATTCTTTATCACCGGAGCAGGAGGATCATTCTTTATTACCGGAGCCGGCTCAGACGGACTTACTTTTACTTGGTTTCCCTCAGATTCTTTATGGCTATTTGTACCTTCCATTATAGAAGATGCATTTCGCCCATGATATTGTCGGACTTTCGAAACATCTTCTCCTCCTCCGAAAATATCCGTATGGCCTCCGCCTGGGGGCCTTAATACACGGCTGGAGCTTCGCCCTCCATCGTCCAATCCAATGTTAATTCCAGTGGATGTCATGCTATAAATTTCAAACTTTAAATTTCACAAAATGATGTTTAACTATAAACAACAAAATTCACCTTTATGTTTGTGTATAACGGTGCTATCAAATTTAACGAAACCAACGGTAACTGGTTTATACTAGATACCCGCATTCAACAGGAAATATAAAATTAATAATCCATTTAATGTAAATGTCAAATGTCTTAAATGAAATACCGAAATACTTTTGTCTTTTATTAGATCAAAAATTATAAATAGACATTGGATAACTTACCTCATTTCGATTTGAATTTGTTAACCGTCAAATAGTTTTTATTTTTGATAAAAACTTGACAGACAAATTTTTTAAAAATTATCAGTGGAAGATATGGTACGTTACTACACCTACACTCACCCACACCCACTATATTACTCTGAATTCGGAATTGTTCTAAAAAAATTTCTAACAGCAAAATTGTTTAAAATCAATGTATTAATATTATAAATATATTATTATGTACCAATCAACTGTAATAATTACCTTATTTTAAATATAAAAGACTTAAATGATGAATTTTGGAAAAATTTCTATCTCTTTTCTCTTTCTAACCACTGGTGTAAGAGTAAGAGAAATTAACAAAGTTACTCCGCAGTTAGCATTGGCTAGGTTGTTTTTTAAGGCCCAACAAAATTCTGTTCCGCTTCAACTAAACGAACGATACGAAACTAACGCAGCTGCCAAGCCCCGCCATGAAGAAGGAGAAGCCATGAAGTCAACAGCCAACACCTGCATCAAATACCCACCCAAACAGTATAGGACTAGCCCAAACAAAAATTATTTAAGATATTGGGGTGGGTGGCAGAGTCGGTTAGAGTCGGAACCTTTGAATCCGTCGATCCGGCATATTTCTAAATTAAAAATGAATCAAATATTTTAATACCTACAGGGTGACGAAAATTTAACACTATTTTCAAGACGAATTTATGAATTCTTACAAAATTAAAATATTAAATAAGGTTGCCGAAATATATCCGGTTTCCGAGATATTGTTTTTTATTTTAATTTAGCACTTATCGAGTTGGTGAAATAAGTTCGAAAAACAAAGTTCGAATTTTCAATAAGTTCAATTGGAAATTTTTTCGAAAGTACAAAAGTAAAAGATCAAAAGTGACAAAATACCGAAATCGCATATGTAGGTAATTAATATCAAATGTGATCAAAATCACATGTTTGAAAGCACTAAAGATCGAAATGGTATATGATCAAAATGGTATAACATCGAAAACATACAGGGTGTCCCAATAGTGTGTGGAAGTTCGATATATCCTATATTATAGAAAATATCAAACAATGTTATTTACAAAAGTTGTAGATAATATTAATCTGCACATTTCAAAATTATTTTTGATTATACAGAGTGATCCATAACTTCAGAATTGATCAAACCTATGTTTTTTAAATGGACCCCCCTGTATTTAATTGTAAAATTGAATTCCCCTGACTTTGCCCTTCAAGAAAATACCAACATGTATGAGGTTATACTGGGTATTTTGGAAGTTTAAACCAATTTTATATGAAAATCGTACTAGGTTCAACCCTCTGTACATTTCAAAAGAAACAATCGAACATCAAAATTTTTTATGAATCATTTTTAATGATAGTCTACTTTTATAAGAATATACTAATTTTTTCCTAGCGCAACAGACGTGTACAAAAATATGAGCCAAAAATAAGTTATTTTAATTTTTTTTATATTGCAACATTAGTACATTAAAAAATAAAAAAAAAGCTATTATAAAAGCTGTTCAAAGTGACTCCCTCCAACTGCAATACAACATTGTAATCTTGCTTCAAATGATCTTTGAACGTTTTTCAAACATTTCTTTCCTTCATTTCCTCGCTAGTTAATGAACTAGTTTTATAAACCTCGTTTTTACGAAACCCCACAAAAAATATCTACTTTAGTGAGGTCAGGGGACCTGGGAGGCCACATAACTGGACCATCTCTTCCAATCCACCTATTTTCAAAATTATGGTTCAGAAAGTTGCGAACTGGTTGAGCATGATGTACAGGAGCTCCATCATGTAATATCCACATTCGGCGTCTCATATTTAGTAGAACATTTTCCAATAGTAGTGGTAGATGATTCAGCAAAAAGTCTAAGTAGACCTCGGCACGACCATGAAAGAAATGTGGTCCTATGACATAGTCCCCTAATATACCACTCCAAACGTTAATAGACCATCGTGTTTGGCTATGTGTCATTAACTCGTAGGGATTGGTGGTGGAATAGTAATGAAAATTGTGTCTATTGACGAAACCGTTTTTGTGAAATGTTGATTCATCCCCAAAAAGTACACAATCAAAAAACTCATTTTCATTATTAATGCTCTCTATTGCCCATTCACAAAAAGCTATTCTTTTTTAAAAATCGTTTTCAAGAAGCCCCTGATGACGTTGGATATGGTATGGAAGTACTTTGTTTTTTAATAGTATCCTATTGACAGATGATTTACTTATTCCCGTTTCATTTTCCGTGATACGTGTACTGGTGTTTGGATTTTCGGTAACACTATAGAATACTGAGTTCATTTTGTTCATTTAAAGTTCGTTTTTCTCTATCATTTTTTTGATATACTACATTACCTGTACTTTTGAATCTTTCCAACAGATTTTTAAAAATTTCTTGTCGAGGTTGTCAGCGATCAGGATATTTTTGCTTATAAATTCTAGTTGCCAACAAGCAATTTTCGTCACTATCCCCTAGCACTAAAATCATATCAGTCAATTTATTCGTTTCAAAATTCATTTTTAAATTAGTCAAATCAATAAATTTAAATACTTGTGAACACTAAACGTGATTTTATTTTTTTATTTAAACAATTCGGAACTGTCAAATTATTCTTTTGACATGAATTTCAAAGCCCACTTGACCTAATGCACAAAAAAAATTTAAAGTTATGTTAGCGTTTTCATTGCATTTTATATAAAACGTTGTAAAGGTCCCAAAAATTAATTTTAGTTGATAAAAAATTGTAACAGGTACCTTAAAAATATAAACTGATTAACTAGTAACTACTATCATGGGCGTCGTTTGGGGGGGGGGGGGGGGGGCAGTTGCCCCCCCCCCTGGCTTTTACGACTATACAACGCGTAATGGCTGTATGTCACAATACTAAATTAAGTACTAAAATTTAGCCCTAAATCAAGTTATTAATTTAGTACTAAATTTAGAACTAAAAATATTTTTTCCCTTTTGCAACGATACCAATTTTTAGTACTAAATTAAGTATGGGCGCACGCGCATTGACGTATTATTACGTAAAATTAGCACAGAAATAAAATATTCTTTGTAAATGAGAGAAGAAAATTAAAAGATTTATTTATTATGACTTTGACACTAATTGACTTGACAATAACTAAATGCTGCAATGCTACTAAAAACCACGAAAAAACACAATAAAACCTACAAAATCAAACACAAGCGAAATTTGTCCAAGGCGATAAAGCAATAACAGTTGATGTGTTGTAAATTGTAAAAATACTAGCAGAAAAACAGTGTAAATTATATAAATTTTTAGTAGCAAAATGAAAATTAAATCAAAGAAATAAATGGATAGCTGTACAATAAGAAGAAAAAACCTTTATTTTTGTAATAATAACACTAATACTGGAAATAGTAGACATCAGAAAATTAAAAGGTTTTAAATAAACAATAAATTATTATTTTACAATGTTGTTCAACATCCCTTAACTCTTAAATGTTGAGCAAGGATTAGATTTCTGCCTTTGATTATTGTATGTGGCTGAAATGCAATCTTGTGACTTATTGATAGTAAACCAATTTTATTAATTAATTTCTACGGACTCTTTCGAACTAAAAATAAAGAAAATATGAATTACAATCGCAAATTTACCAATTATTTTTGTTAATAGGTTTTGAGACTACGTTATTATATAATGGTAATGTTTTTGTTTTCACATTATTTAACCTTTTCTTCAATGTTAACTTATTAGGCTTAGGCAACATATACATTTTCTGGTAAATATATAATCTTATAATAATCATTCTCTCCCTAATTCATCCCCTTATGAGTGAATTTTAACTCCAAAAGCTGAGCTTGTGCGGGGAAAAATATTATTATTATTATTATTTGCTGTGGCGCTCCGGGACGACTTAAAGATAATTAATGGTGACATTTGACCTACAGGTGAGGAAAACCCGGAAAACCCCACCTACCATCATCGAAAACGGTAATGCATGGTGATTTTATTTTAATAATCTGGATGTCATATCAACAGAAATTAAATTTCTGCTAATATGGCATCCATCAAATCCTATAGAGAACCATGCAAATAAATTCACATGGTCTTCCGTATAATCTGAAACCGTGTCTCGTTTTACCAGAAAATTGGCTGACAAATGAATGCCGCGCCGTAGACACCTACACCACCGTAGCCTGCCTATGTTTTATTATTGATTATACTACTTTTATTTTAGCTGAAGTACCTAATAAAAATATATAATAATTAATTTTTTCACTTGTTTTACAAATCTATATACTTTTATTAAAATCAACATATATATTTTTTAATTCCATTAAAAATTGTATTGTCAGTATACGCAAATATAGTCCGTTAGTTCATAAATTAGTTGGCGCTGCTGTCACGCACAGAGCGAATAATGAATGAAAATAGGCTGACTGCGCTTTGCATGATGAACGTACATCCAAAAATAATCGCAAAAAACTAAAAAGAAATCATGTTTTCTGTTATCGATTATTTTAGGTAGAGGAAGAAGAAATTAAAAATTAACGAACACTAGGTCGACGTGTTTGAGTGAGTTTTTTTTTGTTTTTGTGTTTCTATAAATATTTTATTTTTTTTATATATGTATATGGCTCTGTCTCCTTGTTCATATTTTTCTTTCATCTCACACCTTCTATTTGTTTTTTAGAAATATGTGTTTTAAGTTTTTTGTTTTATTTTTTTAATTTTAGTTTTTGTCTTTTTTGTTGGGTTATTTTATTTATTAAAAACTTTTGTTAATTTGTATTGCTCTTTTAGTTTTCAATTTCTCTGTTTTTCAACTAATAAACATTCTAAATTTTTTCAAAATTTTGCCCCCCCTTCCCCCCCTATAGAATTGTGTAACGACGCCCATGACTACT